CTGCCAGATAAATGCGTTTACACCTTAGGTGCAAGTCTAAAATACGAATGGTATTGTTTTGACTTAAAGTAGATTTCTGTTTGTGGCTCACTCACATCAGTGAACACAGCAAACTTTCAAAGAGGTTAAAAGTGGAACGAAAATATCTCATTAATTAGGTTGGCGTTTAATTACCGCCCCGACTTTCCCCGCCAATGAGGCATAACCAATGTCCCCAACCGCACGCTTTTCCAATCCTTGTCAGTCACATAAATAGATTTTCACTTTTCCTATGTCCCCTTCCCACCTTTCTTCTTACTCTCTTCCTTCTTTTCGCAAAATAAAATTGTATCGTCTCCCCCCCAGCCACCGACAGGCCCGACTATGGCCTCGAAGAGTTGTCCACAGCGAACGTCCGGCAGAAGTTCGCCATGTTCGAGCAGGCGGCGCAGGAGGACGAGCTGCAGGCCGACCCCGCACAGATCAGGAGGTCCAACTCCCTGCTCAACAGGGCAGCCAGGCGAGTGCCCGGGCATTTCTTGTTGGGTTTAGCGTTGCTTTACCAGCTGGTTATTATATATATATATATATATATATATATATATATATATATATATATATATATATATATATATATATATATATTATCTTTTTTGCCTGTATATTAGGTGAAAACGTGATCTGGGAAATTAGTAGTGATTAATATTTTTTCATAGTATCATATTTATTGTTTTGATTTTTACAGCTGGTATGGCTGATGCCATTATCATCATTGGTATTATTTTGTATTATTGTTAAGGGTGGGAGTACTGTGGTCAAACAGAGGCAAGAGTAATGGAAATAATGACACAAATACTTATTTTATGGTCGTTGTTTTTGGCCCCGATAGATTTATGTATGGCGAGGACGACGACTACGGCATCGAGAACTCGGAGCTCGGCGACTACGAGGAGGACGAAGAGGACGAGGACGAGGAGGAGGAGGCGGGAGAGGGAGAGGAAGGAGAGGAGGGAGACCCAGACGCCGTCAAGACCAAGAAGAAGAAGAAGATCACTCGCCCGGTGCGGGAGGCTCTCTGGCCACACACACACACACACACACACACACACACACACACACACACACACACACACACACACACACACACACACACACACATACATACATACACATACATACACATACATACATACATACATATACACCTATGCATGTTCATACATATACAAGCACACACATACACATACACATACACATGCACATGCATACACATACACATATATACATACATACATATACACCTATGCATATTCATACATATACAAGCACACACACACACACACACACACACACACACACACACACACACACACACACACACACACACTCACACACACACACACACACACACTCACACACACACACACGCACACACTCACACACACTCACACACACTCACACACACTCACACACACTCACACACACACACACACACACACACACACACACACACACACACACACACACACACACACACACACATTTGAAGTCATAGGCCAGTCGCTCAATTTGAAATAATATCAAAACTAGAATTCTTGTGGGTATTTGCTTATTAAAGGAGGTTTTTCCTTGTGTTCGCCAACAGGTGAGCTTTGCCGGGATGGAAGATCTTAAGAGACAGAGAAACCGTCGAGACGAGATGAGGAAGAGGCGCAATCAGGAATTGTCGCAGTTCCGTCAGATGCTGTGTGCTGTAAGAAGCATTTTTATGTTCACAGGAGAATAAAAGATGACAGGATAATGAAATATTGATTCATAAACATATATATATATATATATATATATATATATATATATATATATATATATATATATATATATATACTGAATTTCTTTTCCAATACATAAAAAAGCACTCTCAGTGTCATATATATATATATATATATATATATATATATATATATATATATATATATATATATATATATATATATATATATGTATGTATGACACTGAGAGTGCTTTTTTATGTATTGGAAAAAAAATTCAGGGGTAATTTTCTAAGTCAGCACAAGTTCTTCAGTGTTTTTTTACTGTAACTCTAAATTAATTCACATTACTTATATATTTACTTATACTTTTTTTTCTTCTTCTCCTAAACTCTAAATCAGAAAGAGACTGATTTGTTTTGCCTTTTGTAGGGTAAAAATATTTCCACAAGGGAAATGTTTGAGTCTGGAAACCTGGACGGCCAGAATGACAAAAACAAGCGACCGGAGCAGATCAACATTGAGGGTCGTCCGGCCACAAAGAACCTGAGGGAAAGATTTGAGAAGGGAGAGCTTGGTGGTAGCCTGGACGATCAGAAAGAAGTTGATGAAGTGTTCCGGAACAGTGGTAAGGGTTTGGTTTGTTGTTTCTCTATATTTATGAATAGATTTATGTTTCATGTGACAGATGTTTAGGTGAATGATTTGTTAATATAATTTCTTCATTTGTTTCTTGCCTCTTCCATCTTTCATACTGTTTGTTAAACAGTACATAGTCCGCATGAAATGCACAATGCATCTCATATTGTGCATCCATGTAAGTAAAAGGCATCCAGATTGTGCATTCACTTAAATGCTTCTAATATTTTGCAACTGGTCGTTGACTAACATATCACTTTTGTCCCACCAACAGAGACAGCCAGCAAGGCTCGTAACCTGTTCAAGCAGATGGAATCAGGAGAAGGCCAGGAGAACGACGAGCAAGCTACCGCAAAGCCTCGTGAAAACAGGTTATCAAAAGAGGTAAGTGTGATTTCCATTTTCATTATAATGGGACTTATGATAGCTATATTGCAAGCATGAATTAGTTAATTTTAAATATTGTGCACTATTTAGATGAATACAGATTCTCTTTTCTCTTTGTAGTATGAATTTTCCATCATCTTCAGTTTTCCAATTATAATTTTGGATTGCAGTACATTCATTTTGTGAATCAGAAGACTTGTTTTATTTGTCTCTGGGAATGTATAAACTGAAAGCAACTTTTGAAGGGTTATGAAACGATTCAGGCATTCCCTTTTGTACAAAGTTGAGAAGTTGTTTAAGTGAAGTTAAATGGAAATAATGATAGTGTAGCTGACTTTAGCCACTTATTTGCAGGCATATACATATATATGTATATGTACACTGGTGTGTGTATATATATGTTCTATGTGTATGCAGTTTTACATGCATGAATAAATGTGTATTCTATTCTTATAGAAAAACTTATAATTAATATACTGACTCTTCTTTCTCTGTAACAAATATTTTTGTACAGAATGTGTGTCTTTGGAATCAGCTATTAATTAAATCTAATGTTATTCTACAGCAAGGATGTGAGTTCAGAAGACGCAGAAGAAACAACCACTTCAAGATATTTTTCTAGATCTGTTGCTTTCTGTCTTACTTCCTTATTTCATAAATAGACCTCTAACTACACACTTGTCTTGCCTGGCAATCTTGTAGCAGCTTAATACAGTAGCATAGAAGTACTTTGTTTAAAATCTCCCCGCAAAGCACACACACACAAACCGGAAGAAAAAGTGAGGACATTTGATAGATATGACCGGACAGTGTTGCTGGTGTTTTGCAGGGCAGGCGCATTCGAAATCTCACTTCGCAGGTCGGAGATGGAGCGAATGGCGATGAAGATGAAGAGGGAATTGAAAGTTCAAATATTTTGGACCGCTTTAAATTCTTTGCAACCTATGAGGAACGTGCCAAAGAGCAAGAGAGGAAGAAGAAAAAAGTATTCCGCATCACCCCACCTCGTGAAGGAGCCCAGGTTGATGAAGAGCTCTTAAAGGCCCATATGCCTAAACGTTGCATGGCAATTAATTGTCCGGTGTGCAGGCTTCGGGTAATTTGCTGTGGTCACCGAGTTTTTTTATCATCCGAACCCAGAATTTCCCGATTCCCCATGCCCATTGTAGCTTGTAGAAGTGTCGTGTTTTGTGTTGTGTTTGTGAAAGACAGTACCTATCAGTGGTACATGTTTCCTGTTTTTGTAACTCTGGATATATTAAAGTATTTAGAAGTGTCACAGCCAGCCTACCACATAATTATAAGAAAATTATCTGTCTAATATTTTTCTGTTAAATTCACAGTTTTTAGAGTTTAAATAACTGAATATTCCTAGTGTATATTTTTCATCTAAAGATTTTCATATATGTAAAGTAATAAATGTTAACACATGTTTTTAACTGGAACCATTTTCATCAATAATGATATGAATTGTCTTCCCACACTGTTCCACTAACATATATGTTATTAGATCCTTTTGGCATCCTGAATCAGTGACCTGCCAGGTTAGCATGCTGATTTTTGGGTATGTCTCTGCAATGTCGATAGCCGGTACAAAACATGAGCTAGATATGATGTCTCTTTAATAGATAATCAGGGTTCATTTTCACAGATGTAGAAAATGTTATAAAAAATTGTGAATAACTTCTTATTGCAAGATATTGCATATCTTAAGTTGTAAAGTTATTCATTCCTACTTATACCTTTTTCTACACAACTCCTTTTGATATTACGGGAATCATAGAAAAGTATACTCTTAAACATGTATTTTTAAAATTTTCGTTGCCTTTTGAACTACAGGAAGAATGTCAATTCTAAAATATATAGATATTCCCCAAGGCATAGCTTTACTCTCAAAATATAACTGTTTGTACATTATCATTCAGGGAAAATATTGGTTACGGTGGTGGCGACTGGACATTTTTTTGACCACAGGACTGTCAGGAAACCTTGCCTTTCTCTTCTCACTCCGGAGGTAAAATCATTTTGCAGACCCAAGAAATTTTAACAGCAAACAAGAAACAGTCTGAAGACTTTTATTGAAACCTGAAACCTTTTAGAAGATGGATTCAGGACCAGCTAGTCCTTAGAACGACCAATCAGAATTGCTTAAACTCCTGCATAATATAAGATGCTTAAAATTACCCCTTTTTCTTAGTTTGTCTTACAGAGTGAGTAACAAAGACTGCAGTTCTTACCATTATAGTTGTTTTTATCATGTTCATATGCTAGCTGAAATAGTACTAAGAGCTTTATTTGTGCGCATTAATAAGTTTGTTCTTTGTGGAGAGATTGTGTAGATAATTGATATAGATATGCATGGCAGTTTGGGGTTGTTATTGGCATTAGAAACTGAGCATTTTTTGTTCCCTCAGAAACTCAGACAATGTTTCAGGTGATGTGCCTAGAAAATGTATCTAACCATATAAATACAATTTTCATAGATTGTTTTGATAGTGACGTGACTGTTTTACTGTTATTCATGATATTGCCTGATATTTTATTCCGACTTGGTTTTCGACTCATTCACATGTTTTCTCCTATACCTTTTTTTTTTTATTATTATTACTATCGTCTGTATGTGTATGCAGTAGTTACTTATTATTTCCTTTTTGTACAGTATTTTTATGTTTTTTGTTTGTTTTTTCCCTTCCCCCTTTTTTACCTTTTTCTTTTCTTCATCTCCCTCCCACTTGTCCTTGATATCCCTTACTTACTTTTGTTTATTTTCCAAAGTGCTAGTTAGAATTCAGATCTCTTTTCCTCATATTATTTATTGCCTTTTGCCTCATGTTTGATTAACGTTGTGTAGCATTAAGTGACGTGAAGACTTTTATGACTTTTTTAGTTTTGTTTTTACATTCACATGAAGGTAACACCTAAAACATAATTTGCAGTTATTTACTTTCAGAAACTGCTGGGCCACACATTTCTCTTATATCAGAATGTGTCTGTACTGAGACAAGTCACTTAGAGAAATGCAGTGTCAGGAAGCATAAGAAATACATTTCGCCTTGCATAGTAAAGTGAAAGAGAAATACATCTGTTCTGGCAGGTTGCTGTATATTAAGTGTTTTTGCCAGACTGACTTTGCCTTTATTCATAACCTTATTCTCACATCCTCAGTTTCTATTAATAGTTGACTTCCCTTCCAGTAGTATTTAACACTAATTACCACTTAGACTATTTTTATTCCAGAATATTACCCCACTGACGTTGATACCTGTTAACCACAGTAACATTTTTTCTTATAATATCCTATTTTCCTGTTCACTTTTCCTAGCCTGTGCCTTTCCTCTCCTTCATTACATACTAGGAAATAAAACAAATATCCATACATGTGATAACTCATCATATGTATTTCCCCAGGGCTGTGATGACGAGGAAGTGCCCGACTTCTATGGACGGGATCCTAACCTTGTCAAGTACACTGACAACCTAGAAGAGCCATTAGATTGTCGCAAAACCAAAAGTGTGCTTGCCATGTTCAGGAAAATGGAAATGCAAGAGGATGAAGATGACAGAGGTACTGTTTATTATTTTGTCTTATGTAAAATCAGGAAGCATTTGGTGTTTATAGGTAATGTAGCTCATGATTATAATTCATTGCTTTTGTTATTAACTATTAGAAAATTTTGTTGTAATTCAGCACATTTCAAAACCACTAAAATGCTATGCAGTTGTAGTTAGTAAGAATTATAATGGTTATGAAATGATAACGCACTGACTGCTGATTAAATGGAATACTGAGTTCCTGTTCATGGCAACCTCATTACCAGGCCCTCGACCACTGAAGCGCTTCACGCCACCACCAGAGGGTGAAGATGATGAATCAGATGACGAAGAGTATTCTGATGAAGAGTACTCTGATGAAGAGGATGAAGAAGATGACGATGAAGAAGAGGAGGAAGATTCTGATGACGATGAGAGACCCAGGAAACCAAAGTACAAGGATGAAATCTTAGAGATGGTGAGATGTACTTCTTATACATTGCTTTCTGTGGGAGGGTGACAAAGAACGTGTAAATGACTGATGCTGCAACAGTTTATTCTCTTTGCATTAGATTTTCATATTTTTTTGTTTTTATTAGCAAAAAGCGAGGAAAAAGAAGGTAAGAGAGATCAGGTTGTTGTGGAAATGAATGGAAGGTTATTGATTTTTGCTGAACCCCTTTTGGATGGCTCCCGTAATGTTTAGTGTACAACAGTGTATCCCACCCCATATGATGTCTAAGTATTTTTATAAGGCCAAACATGACTTCACAAGATGTAGATTTATTAAAAAAAAAAAAAAAAATAGCACACTTGCGGATATTGTGTGGTTACTTTCAAACCATCCGTGAGGGGTTAATTTTCCTTTAAATTATACTGCAGTGCTTACTTATAAATGTCTATTGTTAATGTTATATAGATTTGCAGATATCATTACAATATTCAATTCTGAACCACAGTTCATTATTTTATTGCTTTGGCCCATACACATATACACAAAAAGTTACTGTCAAATTATTTTTATGTCATTACTTTCTGAACCAAAATCTGCTTTATTATGAATAATTTCTTATGATAGTGCTGCCCAGCTATGAGACACTGGGACACAGTATTTCATTTTATTTCTCATGCTTAATATTGGTTATTGCCATTTTCTTTTGCACATTTACTACATAAAGCTACTAACCTATATGTCAGCAGATTTTTCTTTTACTGCTGATCAGAAAATCTTCTAGAATTGGATCTTTTCACACAGTTTGACAAGTTTTGTTTAGAGATTTTCAGGGCTGGGCCTTCTTTCATATCCAATAGCACTAATAAAACTAAGAATTCTCAAACTGAGGAAAAAATGACAGTCACCCTTCTAAAATGGCCTACAAGCATCTTTCCTTTTTATGTACAGCTTCTTCAATGTTTTATATCTTATCTTGACAGAGATATATATATAGTTTTGTGGAGTTTGATTCTGATGATGCCATGTAGGACACACCATTAGTTCAGATATATAAAACAACAGGACCTGATACTGATAAAAAGTACTGATGTGATTTTTCTGTCGCCGGTACAGCTGGTAGGTGGTCCAGTGAGGGGTAGGTGTGGTACTGCTAGTGTGGTGACCCAATTCTCAATGCTTCTGCTAGGCTATCATTACTCGACTCACCCTTTTATAGTAATGTGGATGTATTCCGTATCATAAAAAAGGCCTCTCTGTTTGCCCACTTTCTCTCTGGTAACAATGTAGATGGCAGTGATGCACTGATGTTCCCCTGTTTTGACATTAACTTTGCATTACCTTTTTACATTATTATTTATAAATGGATATTCAGTTCATATTGTCAACAACTTGCTTCTAGTTGGCATAAGAAGTAGTTGATTTAGAGCTGGCCTTCAGAATATTGGGTGATATAAGAGTTTGAGATTTCCACAAATGCTCCCTGCCAATATATCCATAAACTTTTTTTTACCCTAAGGCTGTCATAGCCTTGACCTTGAAGCATGTACACACCATACCAAAATTATCCAGATTTACATGAAAATTTATCTCTTACTGCATTTATTTCAATGTTTTATTTTGAATATAATAATTATGCTTTACTTCCCAGTTGATTATTATTTTTTCTGCTAAACCACACAGTGAAACCTCCTAAAAAACATTCTACATTTTTGCAATGATTGATTTGCTTTTGAAATTAATTCATGATACTGATTAGACTTTGGTTGTCTGTATCATGATAATTGACAGGATTATGCTTAGGCTTTCTATTTCATAATTATATACCAGTTTGATAAGAAAGGTTAGATGATACACAGACAATTCACATCAATGTTGATAAGTTCTATGTCTATTCATGTATATTCATTCATACATAGTCTTCTAGACTCCTTTATAAGTGCTGGGGATTGTATGCTGTATTCAATTTGGGGTATACTGGCCTTCTTTCATTTTATTATTAGCAAACATCTCATTTTAGGAGGTTTTGTTGTGCATAAGGAAAATTTAATATACAAATTATAAATGGGCAGAGATAGTACTCTCAGTTTTTTTTTTTTTTTTTTTTTTTTTTTTTTTTTTTTTTTATTGGGGAATCTTGAAGTGTCAAAGTGTTTACAGATGTCTTAAAATAGTTCTGAGGATAGGACTGATAACTTTTGGAAAGAATATCTTTAACATTAGTCAGATCTTTTGTTTTTCTTTTTATAGGCAAGAAATCATACATGCAAATGATCTTATATGATTATAGTTGGTATCAGTATAAGGGAACTTGCAAAATACTTCAAGAATCTCCCAAAGTTCATTTTAGTATTAAGTTGAATTGTTTATATCTTTATTTTAAGAAACTACTAATAATTCCATCCTTCCTCCCTCCTCCTCCCTCCCCCACCCCCCTCTCCTTCCCCTTTCAATCTCACCCTTCCTGGTCTCCCTTCGGATCACCTGCTTATTTGCTGATCTGCTGCAACATCTAATCATTCCTACCTGTCTGCATGCTGTCTACCGTGAATGTCTTCACTTACGTTTTGTTCTGTGGTCTTGTCCTGCACTGATGCCAACCTGAATACCAATATGTTGCTGCTAAATTTGTTGTAAATTTTACAATGAATCATCGCTTACTTACTATTTATGTTTTTCTTACTTACTATATGTTTTTCTTCTAATGATTGTCTATTTTTTCTGTATCATTTCTTTTTTAAATTTTGTGTTCATGTCATGCATGACATTTTTAATAACTTTTTCTATTTTTCTAATGTAAAATATTTTAACCTTTTTTATACACATGGTATTTTCCTCCACTAACCACTTCCACTTCCCACAAACATCACATTTTGTTGCTTCAATATTGTCAATGGGCAAACTGGTTTATTAAATCTGGTTAAAAATCCCTTAATATCTTTGATAATGCACTTGCTGCTTCACGCGTATGTGTGCATGCACACGTGGTGGCTGCTGCTGCTGCTGCTGCTTCTTTGCTGCTATACAGGCTAAATCCTCACAGAGTGCCAGAAAAGCAGCTTCGCTGCGAGCCAAATTTGAGCGGTGGGAGTCGGAGGTTGAACACAACAACGAGTACAACCGTAATGAAAGGAACGAAGATGACGAAGAGTGTATGCCGTCCATTGACACCGCCCGCAACCTCCGTGCCATGTTTGAGAACAAGGCCCAGGAGGCAAGCCGGCCGGTCGTAAGCAGTCAACCCAAGTTGAAGGTCAACAGATTTGTGGTGAGTAGAAATACCTGATATTCTCTCTTGCTACTTTGTTAAGGACTCAAGGAAAGAAATGCCAATTTGCTTCTATTACTGAAATTATCATACTGGTGGTGTATCTTTCTATGAACATATATCTTGTAAGTGCATAAATTGCACTGGTTTCACCATGCTGGAATTCAATATCTAGTAATAAAAACAGACTTATTTATTGTTATTAGTCTACTTTGAATGACAAATTTCATTGTATTTCTTTTGATATACAGTTTTTATGCCTTCTCAGTAGGAGAGATTGAGTGTATATTAGGGAATTGTGTGTAAGATTATGATGTATAATTATAGCATATCATATGTAAAAAAGGCAGAAGGTTGATAGAGGAAAGTACTTTTAAGTTTAACATGATACCTAGTATCAAATATTTAAAAAAAAGTAGAATCATATAGACCAGGTGAAGGTAGTATTGTAGTATTCATTATACATTTGTATTGATTAGCGTAACCTTAAAGTATCATTGCATGATTTGTGTACCATCCCATACCCTTTGGATATTAACAAGAACAATGCCCAGGAGTTCTCCCCTTGCAAAAGCATTCAAGGAAACTTTTGAAATATAAAAAATTTAGAATATAGAAAATTTTACCTGTACATCTGGAAATCGCATTGAGATCTGGACTTTCTCTTCCTTAAAGAGAATTATTGGACTGCACTCGGCATGAAAATGAAAAAGAGCATGACACTACAGAAACATAATCTGAACAAAAATACACAAGTGATTGGTAACTTCCCAAATTATAGATAATTTATACAATACAGTTGAAGAAAAAATGTATTTATACAAGATGATATTTAAGGATCAGTCATACATATTTGTAGATACCAAAATCCAGGATATATTTGTATCACTTTAGGACTTCAGGAGGACTGCTAAATGGCAGTAATCATTAACAGTGTCTGCAAACCTTCAGAAGACATAAAGGCTACACCCAAGAATGACATGGTGATGATAGCCAGATGTAAGATGAATATCTCATCTACATAATGTGAGCTTTGCAGACTGTGGAATCAATTGCATTTCCTTGACAGCATCTCTAACAATAGTGCATGTAGCTGCTAAAGCTCTCTTATGAAATAAGGGAGAAAGAGAGGAGCTTCGTGACTTGGCTTTGTATTCAGACAAACTACAGTCTCCTTCAAGAAGTCAAGAGGAGGAACATAACTAAAACTTCACCACACAACAGACATTTGAAATGGATTAACAGCATCAGTTGACTGACTTGATGTAGCAGCAGTGTTTTGAATGGTGCATGCCTGTAGCATCATTTCATATCAGTATGGACTAACTCCTACATTAATTTGAATTAAAGTGTGCACTACATCATTTTTTTTGTCTTTTCCCTTTTTGTGGCAATGTTCACCCTGCAACAGGAAAAATGATAACTGAACAGCTTATGGATGGACACAACTAACCACAGACTTGAGTCATGGCATTGTGGCTGACTGTCCACTTCCCTCCACCAGTGAGACTTGCCACGACGCCTGCAACCCCAGTCACCCGTCATCGTTCATTCAGCAGTTGTGCACATCTGTTCCTTTCTTCAAATCACATGGACTGCCACGTTCAGAAACTCTGCTCCGGCTTGATTCCAATGTGCAAGATTTACGCCTCATTAGTAACTCCATAAAAACAGCAGATATCACTGTTATCTCTCATTGTTAATCATGTGGCCTTTCAAGTTAACACGTTTGAAATCAGGAAACCAAGAATGTTTCATAAATGACTGGGGATAGAGTGGTTGCCTTTTATATGACATTTTTTTCCAAATACAGTATGTCTTTCTTGTGTTGTATTTAAATGTTTTATTATGTAATATATTTCCGTGGAAGATGGTTTTTCTTCTAAGTCAGTAAATCTTATCTTACTGCTTATTATGAAAATAACATCAGTTATTTCCTTTACCTTCATTTGTCATGAAAGATGTTTGGTATTACCTTGTAGATGCTTGTTTCCAGAAGATATATATCAGAAGTGTGAGCTTTCTTTATTCAACCACAGCATGCAAATTTTAGGATTATGACATTGTACACTCATGCTCTAAGAGAATCAAGGTAAAGAGTAGAGTAATCCTTATTCTTGGAGTAAAAAGGATTTCATAGGCATTTTTTTCTAATATGTTGCTTAAAGAGCATATGTGTTTAATCTCCCAAAAAAATCAATGGTAAAGAGATAAGGCTTTCTGTTTTACTTGAGGTTGATGAAATAAGTGCAGCCTGAATAGTATATGCAGTTGATATATTTTTTAGTTCTCAGCATCTTTTTATGCAATGAATGTTACCAGGAAAAACTTGTTACTATTGTGTGTTGACTACAGCTTGTACAGGAAGTTTTTTTCTGGTATACAGTATATAAGTAATTCCCTCCTTTTCTGCATAGGTAATGCAGCAAGTAATGAATCAGCATGCATATATGAATCTGCTGCCTATAGATATAATTAGCCATGCCCATGTATTCCCAAAAAAGGTAATCACTCACACACAAGTGATGCGAGTGACTCAAAATTACTGTATATGAAGTTCTACCTTCCTTATGTATGACATCTTCACTCACTCTACATGTCCTCAGAATGCTTGAAGCTTTTTGGAATATAATATTTAGATGATTTGTATCATATTTTTTAGATTTCACCGATAGATTTTTTTCTCTTTTTTTGTAAGACTAGCAGTTTCAACACTGTAAACTAAAAATGATAATGCTGTCAGAACTCACAATTGTTAAAAGAATTGTGTCATTTGAAACACAGCACACAATTGAGGTACTTTATGTTATTATTATTATTTTATGTAGTTTTTAACTTTGTATCAAAATTGATTAATAAATTGATATATTGTATGAATCTGTATGTACCTCCTTGTGATTATGAATCAACATATTTCCAAGCAATTATATTGATAGGTAAGTCATAAATTGCAAATGTTTAAGTGTTCCAGTGGTGTAATGCATTTATATTTATACTAATATAATGTACAGTTATTTACTCATTGTTTGATGCCTATATTTGATGTGATATTTGTTTGTGAACTAATGAAATGTTCATTTTGTGTGATTACTTTAGTATAGCTTTTAAGTTTTTAAATGTACTGTTGAAACTAACCAACTGTTATTTTTATTTATTTTATTTTATTTTATTGTTTTTTTTTGCATTGATTTGGTGTGTTACAAGGGATAGAAAACAGATACTGTAGGTATTTATGGAGAATATTTTCAACCAACTGAAAATCATGATTGACCTCTGTATAGATTTACTTGCCTAATATGTAATGTTAGGGACAATTGAGTCACTAATCACATCATTTGTAAAACAAAAGGAATTAGTGCATGCTTTAGTCTGATGTAGATTTTGTGTGAAGGTATATCCCAACTGAAAACACTTGACTTTAAGCTGTGGTATACCTTTTAAAGTTTTTGTACTGATTTGTGTATTCTCTTAATTTTATCATTTAGAGATGACACATACTGAGAAGTAAAGAAAGTAGATTACTAAACGTATGAAAGGTTATTCAAATTTATAATTATTTTCAGGGTGGTGGGGGAGACAAGTGTCTGTCATGTGACCGCACTGTATACGCAATGGAGAGACTGGAAGTTGCTGGTCGTGTACTACACAAGAACTGCTTCAAATGCTGCAAATGTAGTACAAAACTTAGGTAATATCTTGAGACAGTAAAGCATTTGCCACATTTGCCTATACTTCTGAAGTAAATTTCTTTCATTCCCAAAATGAGATTTGTATTATGAACTGTTTTATGTGTTTTAAACTTGTGTATCAGTCCCTATATTTTACTTTATGTATTTTTGTTTCTTCCAGCATGAATTCATTCTCCATAGGCGGTGAGGACATATACTGCATGACACACTACAAACAGGCTTTCACAGAAAAAGGAACATACGATGTATTTACACCTAACAAAGGGAAGTGGACAAGAAAAATTGAAGCAACAAGTTCAGAATTGGCAAAGAGTCAAGAATAGAAAAAACAGTTTTTAGACTATTGTAGATACAATATTCTGTAAAAATCAATAAATGGCAAAGTGCCATATGACTTCATACCTTATCAGTGAAAAGATGGCAGACTTAAGATCATTAATAACTTGAGTTCTTATCATTGGTGGATAATGACAAAGTTCCTAAATGATTGACATGTTATTAACCTGACCTGAACTGTAAAATTTCTGTTTGGTTTTGTTTAAGAAATATATATATTGTTCTTCATAACCACATCTCAGATCCAGTTTTTGTCATCCATTCACTGATTGAGAGGATTCAAACAAATATATTTTGGTACAGCTAACAGCATGCCATCAACAAATCTCATACCACAAGTCCCAAGGTACTCTGCGAAGTACATTCTCCCCTATTGTGCCACCAGTAGATCTGGCGATGACCATTGTGGGGGTCAGGGCTGAGTTGAAGTTGTGTCTCGGCACTTGTTCAGCAAGTTTTCCGGAGAAAGCCTTCACTCAGCAACAAGGAAGCCTGACCAATATTTTCTGTAAAAATATTGATTATTCAGCACTTTGTGTGTAGCCATATCATATCCGATAAAGTATTATATTCATTATGGTCACTTCATGGTACGATGCCACATAAGAATTAGACTAGTCATAGCACTTTATCACAGTAAAATATAGGTTATAGTGTAAATTCAACAAAACACTTTATGAGAGTTCTAAGACCCAAAGAATTGTGTCTCAACTGGCTCTTGGGAGTTTTACTTCTTTTTTTATAGCCTTCAAATTTTTGGGACTCCCTGGTTTAGCACAGTGAATGTTGTAAGCTTGTCTGCCACCTGAGACCTACCAATTTTAGTTTCAGTGGCACTTGGTTCCTCTCAGATGGCACAAATTATTCTTATTTCTGTGATTTTATGAAAGCTTGATTTGTCAATGATATTTTCATTACTGCAGATTTTATTTGATTTTATTTTTTATTTTGTTACTATTTTTTGTGATTCAAATATTAAGGACCATTGAATTTGGTTTAGTGTTTTTGCTTTAATGAGGGATTTTTGACTATCCTCTTGTTCAAACCAAAAACCAAATTGAAGGTATTTATTTGTATTGCAAGTGGGCTCTGTGACCTCATCAATTCTGTTTTTAGTAAAGAAATCAAACTTCATTGTATTTTTTTGTTTTGTAAAGCCCCCTCCTATGTTTATGATTTTAAATATACAAACATTTTTCAATTGAATTACAGGCATTATACTTGAACATGCCCATAGGAAATGAACTAGAATAGGTTCATGTATTCATTTGTTTTTGCCAGTGTATTACTAACCCCTTTTTTGGTAAAAGTTAGTAATGTGTCTCCTTTTAAAGGACTTGGTTTAGGCAACTAGACATAATAGATAACCCTTCATACCTTAGACCATGGGCAGGACCCTCTTGGTCCCCAGCAGTGAAGACTACCACTGCACCATGGTGGCCCCCAAAATAGGTTTCTTATTTATATTAATAGATTGAGGTTTTCAAGTTATAAGAGAATGTTCTTCATAGTTGGGGTTTGCACAAGTCTCATTTCATTTGTATCATATATTGAAGTTGCCCATTTATTATTGTAAAAGCCATGCAACTTTTGGCTTTTGTGTTACCATTTTTTGTCTCTTTTCATGCAGTGGACTAATTATTTTATTGACAGTTATTTGAGGTCGCAGAAACCATATCTGTTTTAGTTATAGAAGTTCAATAATTGAATTTAACTATAAGAAAGCATTTACATGTTACTGTTTAACATTTCTCTATAGACAAATGATTGTTTGAAAATAATTATTCATAATTTATATCAAATTTAGTGTAGATTGTAGATATGTAGATATGAGTAAAAATCATAGGCTTAGTGCATATAGCTGCACCATTTCTCATGTGATGTAGTTCTAATTCTAGTGAAAGGGAGAAACTTCAAAAGGATAAGGAGAGATAACCATGACTCCTCTTCACTTCATGATACAGTTCGAGCCAGTGCAGTTTTTTTCTCTCTCTTTTTTCTCTTTTTTTTAATTAGCATTTAGAATATGTTAAAATAAAATGCTATTCAGTCCAAAACTGTGAGGATACTTTTTGTTCTTTGTTTCTGATTACCACTTACAGCTTTTGTTTTGGTAAGTCTGACAAATGAAATTTCTTAGTTGAATGACAATAGAAATTACAGTAAATTTCTTTACATGCAGAGAAGCAAGCAGCAATGGAGTGAAAGACTGATATACCAAAAACACAAATAACAGAAGCGTAATATAACCTGTTACTGTATATTAGTGGCAAAAGGAAGTGCCAGATTGATGGTATATATCTTTATCAATATATTTTCATTTCAAGAGGTAGAAACTTCATTCCATGTATTCATTTGCCACTTCCATGGAATGAAAGCCAGAAATATTTTGCAGTAATCAAAATGGACTTTGTTAATGTTTCCTATGAAATACTTTTTGTATTACTAACCCTTTAGTGAAATACATATTGTACTTCTTCAGAACTCTAGCAGTATATTTTTATGTGCCATAGGAAAAGGTATTAAGTGGTTTGAAAGTAACAGAGATTTGACAACTTTAATTTCATAGAACTGCGTACATCTTTTGAATTTTGATATTACTATTGGCTGGACATTTGCTCTTCAGCCTTGATTATAGCATAGTCCTAAGCAATGAAAGACTGATAAAGTGCCAGCTTCAGCATTTGAATGACACCGCTTAGTTGGATTTTTTCATAATTGGATTGGGAAAGATATTTTAATGAAAACATTCAGAGGAAAATAAGATGTTTTAGGCAACCAATTCATTTTACCTGCTTTACATGCTCCACAGTGCACTGGTGGTCACTATGAAGATGCACATAGGTACTAAAAGAGGAAGCCAGCCAGTACTGTAACACCCATTGGTTTAGAGTGTGCATCGAGTTCATGCAATTAACAAAAATGTAGCAGTCATGTTTTATCTGAATTAAGACATAAATGAAGTTTAGGAACTTACCCCGTGTGGAAGAACTAAGAGTAAGAAAAAGAAAATTGAGTTTGATGTCAGTTTACTAAAACTATGAATCCTGCCAGCCTTACTTGTGTATCAGTGTTGTGTAAAATGCTAGTTTATACATATTTCATTTATAGTATTTAAAATATTAAGCACACAAGCATACACTATTATTATCATTATTATTATTTTATTATTATTATTATTATATTATACATAATAAGTATGAAATAATAAAATCATAATAATAATAATAATAATAATAATAATAATAGCTAGTATACACATGGCTGTGATAAAGAAAAAATGAAGCCCTTCCTCAAAAATGATGTTTAAAAAGTATAAATAAAAAATTATGTACCTGTTACACTTGCCTTATTCTGAAATTAAATTTGGATAGTATTCATTCCTGTTTTCCAGGTTCCTTTGGGGAAGCTGCCATATCTCTGATTACATGCATATGATGCCATAGGTGACTGTGCTGACACACATAGGTATAATGTATCATGTTATATATGTATTTTTAATATCCACCACATATCTTCACTGCATTTTTCTCTCTTTAATCCATGAAGTGGAGTGTTTAAGGACTAGTAAACTAAGAACCATCGCATAGCTGTAACAGAAGTCAGTAAATGATTAAATATGGATTTTTCTCCCCACAACCCCAGTTACAATTCAATATTTGACATATGCAAAGGCTCACAAGGTATTTAGGCTAAACTGTATACCAGTAAGTAGTTTGTTATGGAAGGTACTGGTACTCTTACTTTCTTGTTCTTTACTGTTCTGTATATTAAACAGTCAATATTTGATCACAGCCAGAATACCATTTTAATGCACAAGACATGTAACTGGGGAACTAGTAACTGTAGTGCTTTGCAGCTTGTTCACTGCTGAGTGGTTGAAATAGAGGAGTGTGAGCCTTGTATTAAATGCACTTAAGTATTTTTTGACTTCAGTAGCTCCTGGTAAAGTTAGACCTGAGCCATATATCCCTTATCAGGAAAGCTGACATTCTCATTTTCATGTACTTATACTACCATCAGGGCAAAAAAGAAGGTGCAAAGTATTGCCTTGTGGTACACCGTCTGATTTTGCTGTAGTGATGATTCCGAATCTGTTTCCATTCACTTGTATCCTCTCGTTGCAGATTATCTGCCTCATTATTTTTTTCAACTGTAGCTACACATGAACATCTCAAAAACCAGAAATCATACATAATAAAGATAATGCAATAATTTTTTGTATTTATTTTATAGCTTTCATACATATAATCATAAATAATTGTGGCTAAATGTAGTTGTGGCTCACCTTTATCTACAAGTAAAAAGATCTACAGTAATACCAACATTTTCATTATCCTCTCTTTGGTTTACGAATATATATTTGGATACCTTTAATGTAATTGTATCTTAACTATAATTATAAAATTGATATCCAACTTACTGGATATTCTTTGATCCTGAAAGTCTATACCTGTTCTTTATACAGTAAGAAGCACATACATGTACTATAATAAGTACTATGATATGAAAGTGTCAGGAACAAGTAAATTTAATTTTGATGAAAAAATATATACATATGTACTTACAATTCAAGTTTTATAAATACATGAAACCTAGAAAGGCCATTCAGTGTATATATCAAGTAGTCTTACTTTCAAAAAACATCAAAAAGTTTTACTAATAGGTAAGTTGGAGGTTAGAATTACAAGAACACTCTTAAAGCTGATCACAAAACAATATGGCATATATTGCTGACTCATTCCCTTGAAGTAGACTAAATATTTTGAAAACCAAAATGGGGGTTAAGAATTCAAAATTGGTATTAAATCTTGGTTATCACAAAAAGCTTATTATCACACGGAAAACAACTCACTCTTTTTCTCAGAGAACCAAAAGAAATTCCAAGGCCATATTAAAGGTCTGAGATGATCCATAATCTATCTTTGGACAAAATATTGTAACATGTACATGTCATATTTTATACATATATCTTGAAAATGGAGATCATGTCCAAAACGTACACTGATGGGCCAAGTTACTTTTAGAGCCAGGTTAATCAATGAATGTGAATACCAAACTGACCACATTATTATCAATAGGTAAAAATTAAAATCAGTCCTTGCAAAGAGAGACAATTTTTCTATTCACGACAATGAAATGAAAGTGTTCGTGACATAAAAGACACTTCATTTATCTTTCCTCTTATGAGAAATTGTATTTTGACAAGACAAAAAATATTACAAATCAGTTAAAATTAAAATAGAAGCAAATAAATATGACTATGTCTAATTGTATAGTTTAAAGGATATCCATAGCATAACATAAAACTGACAATAATTTTAGCATCATTGTCATTGTCCTAATGGTATAGTTTTAAGCAGTGTTCAACATAAAAATAATATATTGTACAAATTCAAGAATCATATTTCCTGTATGTCATGGCAAGAATTAAAAACTATAATATCATAAAATTAATTACATTAGATTTAGGGCATAATCATGTAGCAGAAGTGGTCTAACTTTTGCATGTCAGTCATGCAAAGCAGTAAACATCTATCTTCCAGATCATTAAAAAAATTACTCTCAGAAAAATATACAAAAAATGGAGCATGTGAAGTGCTAAGGCACAGAAATGGAGGCTTTCACAGGATTATTGTGTTTCAGGAAATTACAGATGCAGATATTTCTATATTACATTATCAGTTACAAAAATAAATTAAAAGTAGTTCCGATTTCTGCTCTCATTTTCTCTAAAATACTGCCTTCAGACTTGCTGGAAAACCTGCACCATTTGATGTTTTTAGTCGTTATAAGCCCTCTTAGAGAGTATGAAGAATTACATTGCTCAACCTATGGATGCTGTGAATGTGGTCCCCAACTATACATTAACACTTCCACATCATTGCTGGGCTTTTGCCTCCCATTTGCCTTTACAAGGATTGTTGGGAGTGAACACATCGTAGGTCCCCTTCTCCCTGAAGGCCTGCTTGTAGTGGGTCATGCAATACAGATCGTCGCCGCCGATGGAAAATCTGCCAACACTTGAAAAGAAAGAAAAAGGATTAAAAATTACATCTGTCTCAGTAGTTAAGTTCTCTCATCAGCAAATAACCAAAGAGCTATTATGGATACTTGTTCGTACTGTAAATGTAAACATGAGGAATGAAGAATAGATTTTCCTTCAAAACTGCAGTATGAATAGTTCAAAGAAAAATGGGGTTACGTATCTCACCTTAGTTGCGAGTTACATTTGCAGCACCGGAAGCACGTCTTATGCATCACCCGCCCAGCCACTTCTAACTTTTCCATAGCGTACACAGTGCGGGTACACTGGGAACATTTCTCGATGTTGCCACCCTGAAACATAGGAGTAATTTAGGACCGATTTCATGGGCCAAGGAGTAAATTTCCCACAGCTTTTTTATCGAAGAAAATGAGAGAAATTACAAATAAAAACAAGAGCAATTTATCAGAATAACAGTTGGCAGACGATTAAGTGTGCAAAAATTAACAGATACATTAAACTATCGCCATTCTACATTGCGGCAATGAAATTCACCAAACTAAAAAATGACACAAATAAGTATATACATAAAGAAAAGGAATAAGCGTGTCAGTGTTTGCTATAGAAGTGACGTGTCAAAGGAGTATCAAATGCCAAAACTTAGGAGAGTGAATCTGTGCTGACTCCAACACTGGTGCATGTTTTGGGTTGACTATAAATACCGCAGTGTCTCTACACGGTAGCCAAGGGAGGTGAATATGTGGACAAAAGTTGAATGAACAGTCGGGGTAATATTAGATTTCAACAGGTGGCAGACGCTTGTAGAATCCCTGTGGTTTCCACGGGATGCCACGGGACACCTACGCTAAAAAAATACAAGTTACAAGAGACAAAAGCTGACACTTACAATCTAATGCTATCGGTAAATGTAACATATTCACAAGGGTAAATCTAACAATATTCATATTGTCAACCAACCACGTTTCGAGTGAGACTGGGTTCACCTTTTGACAATAATGAAATAATGATCGATTATTGAACCATGGACATCAATGGCTGTAACACAATATATATATATATATATATATATATATATATATATATATATATATATATATATATATATATATATATATATGACAACTCTAATCGAGAAAGCTCAGAAGAATATGTAAGAAAACGTGCCATGTATAAATGGAATCCAATTTGATCCTTTTCAGCTTGGAAACCAATGCTAAGATAGAAGCGGAAGGCGTTAACGAAATGGTGCCACGCGAATTGAAGGCGATCAGACTCCGCGATTTCAAGCATGCTCTCAGGCGCTCACGCACATTCCCTGTGTTAATCTATTACATAGTATTCTAATAAATTTACATATTACTAGCTCGAAACAATACAATTAAGCTAAGAATAAGATTGCGATTAATAAAAACATTATTACATTAAATAAAAAACACATCAGAAGTTGTTGCTCTTATAAAGTTCAGTTTTAACTTTATAAAAGTAATTAATTAATACGAGAAACTAGGAGTGCAGGGGAAAATGTGATTAATTTATTAAAAGATATCTAGTGCGGAGGAAAAGCAACATGACCTTGCAGAAAATTAAAGTAAATGTTATTCGAAGCTTAAAAAAGTGCGTCATCGCTAAATTTGCATATCGAGAAACTTTAGTATAATCGCTGATACTTGGATATTTTTCCTATCCACATATATAAAAAACACTTAAACAAAAGCGGAGTGTCTAAAGAAAACAGCCATTAGGACTGCGTGTGTACTGTGCGCGAGAAACGAATAGCAGCTGGGCAAAAAGAGAGAAATGGAGTTGCAATATAGGAATTTGCGGTCCTCGGATGCCACCAGTGAAACAAAACAGTAGTTGAGCGGGAGAAAAAAAAACTGGTGTGGGAAGGGAAAATGCAATAAACCAAAGACAGAAATAAACAGAATAAATAAACTGCACTTTAACTGACGCGTCCAAGATGCGAGTAGTAATTGATTTAGTAATAAATAGTTTCTGTGTACAATATACCTGTGCCGCGGACAGAGGAAAATAAACCAATCTACACTGAACACGGGCTTACGAACAGAGCATCGAAAACGTCAGTTATAATCAACAGCTAAGTCCCCCGCAGGAAACGCAACAAAAGATAAAATCTAACGAGATATAAAATACCTAAACAGCATTATCGAATTAGTGGCCACAGATTGTGCTGTCGTGTGGCCTGAGCCTGTTTGTTAAGCTGTGTACGTCGTTGGAGCCAAAAATAATCTTGTTTGTATCTGCTTCCTGTTGCAGGCGGTGAGACCCTGATCAGCCACAAGACAGACAATGATGGCACTTCGTCAGTTGCCGTGGCAAAATATGACGCGGTTCCGCCAAAGTGCTTCCGTGCCGACGCCGCCGCTCTTTTCTCTCTCGTTTTTAATTTCGTCGACCGCACCTACGCCCATTTATTATCAGGA